TCTTTTTTTTTTTATCTGGTTCAACGTGTGGGGTTCATTGGATATTTTGTGTGTGTGGCGTGAAGTATAGAATGTTACTTTTTGTAGGGTGGAATTGTTGGAATGACACGTGCTCTTGCAACAGATGAGGGAAGGCATGGTGTTCGAGTAAATTCGTGAGTAGAGGTTACTAAATGAATTACGATAATGTGTACCATGATTGCTAAAATCGGCTAAATTATGTGTTGGCTGAAATCAACAAACGTGAATAATATGAAATGGATGAGCATCATTAAAAGTCAGTAGAACAAAATACTGTTTTTCATGTTATAAGAAGTTATTTTGCTTTTTGCATTTGTAAAATTGTCAAGTTTGCGTATATTCCAATTTTTGTGTATTAAACGTGCAATAATTAATGACAAAATCGTGGATTTGTTCTTAGAAAAAAAAACACATTTTGTACTGTTAATGTATATACTTAAGGATATCGCCTGGATGTGTTTGGACACCTTTATTCGAAGAATGGGCAAAAACAGCAGAAAAAGGACAGATGGAACAAATAAAAGATATTAGTGTAAGTTAGAAAAAATGTTTGGACTAATAACTCTTTTGACTAAATTTCTTTAAAATAATTTTTTCTTGTCATAAATGTTTGTAAATGCTAAAGCTTACTTACTGTGTATTGATATGAAAACTGTTACGTGATGAGAAAACAGTATGACAGTAGGATGTAATGTTGGCTTTTTCAATTGCTATTGAGTATTTTCTATGACGAAGCATGAACCAAAGTAATTTAATATTTCAAGATTTCTTTTTTTAATAAGTTCTGGAAAATAATATGGTGGCTGATTTGTGCCATTCGTGTTTTCGCCCCGCAACCCCGCCAAGCGAAAAGTCGAAAATTTTCAAGTTAAAATGGCGGGGGCGCAGAGCGAAAACACGCTAATTAGTGAGGGCGCGGGGCGAAGTTAAAAAACTTCGCTCCACGGGGGCGCAGCGAAATTTAAGAAATAAAACGGCGGGGTCGTGGGACAAAACACGCTAATTAGCGGGTTTGCGGGGCGAAGTGTAATAACTAAATTTTGTCGCGCTCCCGCTAATTAATGTGTTTTCGTCCAGCGACCCCGTCAAGCGAAAATTCGAGAATTAACAAGTTAAAATGGCGGGGGCGGGGAGCGAAAACATGCTTATAAGAGAGGGCGCGAGGGAAAGTTTAACAAATAAAACTTCGCCCCGCAGGGGCGCGGAGCGAGATTTAAGAAATAAAACAGCGGGGTCGCGGGCCGAAAACACGCTAATTAGCGAGGGTGCGAGGCGATGTTTAATAATGTAAACTTCGCCATGCGACCCCGCTATTCAGTGTGTTTTCGTCCCGCGACCCCGCCAAACGAAAAGTCGATGATTAAAAAGTAAAATTGCGGGGGCGGGGGCGAAAACACGCTTATTAGCGGGGGAGCTATCAAGCATGTTTTCGCTCTGCGCCCCGCCGTTTTATTTCTTAAATTTCGCTCCGCGCCCCCGCGGGGCGAAGTTTTAATTCTTAAACTTCGCCCTGCGCCATCGCAAGTTAGCGTGTTTTCTGTCCGCGCCCCCACTATTTTAACTTGTTAATTTTCGACTTTTCGCTTGGCGGGGTCGTGGGGCGAAAACAAGAATGGCACAAATCAGCCACCATACATAAATAGTATTTTTTGTTGTTGTATTTTCAGATTCTGGGACGGTTTGCAGATCCACGTGAGATCGGAATGGCATGTCTATTTTTAGCAGCTGATGCAACTTTTACCACCGGTGAAGATCTTAGTTGTACTGCTGGTATAGAAAGGGGATATGGGATAAAAATGAAATAACCACTGTTTTTGTTTGCTTACTTGTTTTCCATCACATGGCACGATCAATAAAAGCCTATCTTTAATGATGTATGTTGTTTATTTTCAAAGAATTTACTTATGTGCATTTTTACAATACGTTTGTTCAATAGCAACGCGTCATTGTCCACAATTTCTTTAAACAAAATCTCTTCTTAAACCACTTGATGGATTTTGACCAAATAATACTTAGGTTGTTCTCTACAACAGTTATATAGATGAATCCAGTATGATCCATAAGTAGGTCACATGAGCTTAAAATTGACTATAAAATGGAATCTTTGAAAATCCTCTTCTCCATCGAGTCTAAATTGGCTCCACTCCGGGTGTCATTTACTTAACAAAAGTTTATTTAGGAAAATACATTAAATACCAAGAACCTAAATCGCCAAATTGACCTCTATAAAAAAATTAACCTACTAAAGATTATGCTATGTTGGAACGTAACGTGTATTATTGTGACATAAATCAAGTAATCACGTAACATTTTCGAAATGGGCCATGTTATACATATATTACAATACCTTAGCAAGCAGTTTGTTAGAAATAGAATTAAGATACTAAATTGAATTACCGCATAATAACAGCCTTTGTCATTTCCTTTCTCGCTAATTGCGTGTCAATATTAATTCCTGCTATTTTTGCACTATTTAGTCAAGTTGGTAGAACTTGATGTGTTAAACGTTTACTCAAAAAGAAACAAAGATCTTTTTTTCTTTATCAGAAATGCTTCGTCTGTCAGTCCGTCCTTCTGTCCGTTCGTCGTCCGTCCGTCCGTGCAAACATCTTAAGGTCTATGAGCTTCATTTCGTTCATAATTTTAAAAGGAAGGAAATCCCATAAACTGACTGGTTCATGTGATAATTTTACTTGTTTATGTGGAAAAGTACCACATAAAGATCAAAGAAAAAGCACATAGAACCCAAATGTTGGCATATCCGTCTGTCCGTAACACTTTCGTGTCCGCTCTATAACTTTTAAACTGCTTAATATTTTTTAGATAACTTGGCACAAGTGATCACCATTGTGAGACGATATGTAGAGCTCAACAATTGGTTTGCTTCCTCGAAGGTCAAGGTCACAATTGAAGGTCAAGTGTTAAAAGCTTTACATTTCGTGTCCGCTCCAGGACATTTAAATCGCTGAAACTGTTTTGAAATAACTTGGCATAAGTGCTCACCATTATGAGACGATGTGCAAAGCGCAATTATTTAGTTGCTACCCCGAAGGTCAAGATAACACTTAAAGATCAAGTATTAAAAAATCTCAATTCGTGTCCGCTCCATAACATTTAAACCGCTGCAATGTTTTTAAGATAACTTGGCAGAAATGATCACCATTATAACACAACTAACTTGCCACCAATAATTACTATCATGAGATTATGTGCTTATAATATGCATGGTCATGACTGGTTAAAGGTCAAGAAGTACACATTCATGTCCGTTGCGGAAGGTTAATTAAAAATGTTACAAATATCTAATAATACCCCCGGGGTAACAATTGGTTCTTGTTGCGGGGGTCATTTATTTTATAAAGAATTACAGATTCTAATATCAAATCACTAAAACTAGCATTATTATGCTGTACCATCGAAAAACGGGACATTGTTGCGCTGCGGTTTTGTAGCACTGAGAACGGACAATTGGTCTGGATAATGGACCCATTCTTTTTATAATTGTTAATCTTGCGATAAACAACTATTCATGAAAGAATCTATTGAATTGTTCCAGGTCTCCAGAGTCAACCCGACAACAGACTTTTTATGTCTAATATATGTCAATGACATGTCTGCAACCCTAAGCAATAAGCGTTTATTATATGCACAGGCACGAGTATCGGACCTGGGAAGAAAAAATATGACAAGATTGATAAAAAACTGTGTTCATAAAAACCAAAAAAAAAATGTAAATAATGACCCCCTTTAAAATACAATGTATACTATTAACTTATATTTTTAAAGGCGGTCATTATTTACATTTTTTTTTTGTTTTTTTGACACTTTTAAGATCAACACATGCTTTTTATCAATCTGGTTATATTTTTTCTTCCAAGGTCTGATACTCGTGCCTGTGTATATAATAAACGCTTATTGCTTAGGGTTGCAGACATGTCATTGACATATATTAGACATAAAAAGTCTGTTGTCGGGTTGACTCTGGAGACCTGGAGGTTGAGACCGTTGTCCCTCCATTACAAATAGATAAGACAGAAGCTGTCCTTTTCAAACTATGCACATGTTAGAAAAAAAATAGAATAACTATTCAGAATATGATTTTTTGAGACTTTATTAATTATATTGCTTGATCCAAGTTTAAAGACATTTTCAATCAATACATGTATTATCATTTATAACTTTAAATGAAAGTCTCATCCCTTTGATAATAATGACATAACTGTAACTCTTTTAATTCAGAAATAGTCTCATCATATCAATATACTAAGATATACATGTATGCACATAGCATTAATGATCCCAGTTTCTGTTAAATAAATATGAAATCCTAACATTAACATTAACATGCTATTGATGACCTTACAACTGGTAAATTTTATACAACAAAAATAGTTAGTAATACCTTAGATAGACAGAAAAGAACAAATAATTTAGTAAACATGAGTTACTTCCCCTTAAAATAGAGAAAACCTGAAACCCAAAAGAACACCCTAAACAGCAAAATTATGAAATTTTGCAGGCTCAGTTTTATTAATCCATGCAAATTAATGGTAAAGTGTTCATAAAAAATAGATGGCCATGTGACAGCAGTAATTGCAGAAAATCGGATAGCTTTCAACATCCGGATACTGGTACACTTTGTAAAAACAACCATTCTGTGCAACAGATAAACGTTATATGGATAAAATCAATAGGATAATCGTTTACAACAATTCATTACTTATCCTAATACTCATTTGCAGGTGAACTTTCTTCTTGTAGGAACATTTTGAAAATATATAAATGAATGAATGAATGGATACAGCATATCAATGTAGACCACAACGATATTCGAAATCCGGGTTTTAGTATTGTCAGAAAAACTAAGGGACAAGCTGTTAAACTGAGCCTGCAATTTCGTTAAAATAATATCACAATGTACATGCTTTTTACATAAAGTTATTAAATAGAAATATAACAACATATTTGTTTACTTGATTTTTACGAATCAAAATAAAACTAATTAACACAACATGACATTAACTGTTAATAATAACAGCTCCTTCCATAGGCCAAAATAAAAAGCATTCCATAAGAGACGACGCCGCTCACCGGCGTCGCCAATAAGGAAGATCACCAATGTTATTTTTTCAAGCGGAGATATCTTCCGTTGCCGGATTTTCGTATTACACTGTTCGATTTCGCACTCTTCCGATGCTAAGATATAGAAATTATAAAACAAAAGAAATGACACGAAACAAGTTATTTTATCAAGTTTTCAACAATTGAAACTTACCGTTAGACTAGATTGTATTGTTTTGACATCAGTGTTTGTATAATCATACTGTCAGTTTAAAATGGCGTCCTTCATGAGTAAGATGACGTCATTACGTCGCTTGCGGATTGGCGCCGTTTTGTCAAAATTTAACTGATATGGATAAAATCTGTGAAGTTAGTGTATGTGAGATATTATTTCAGCGTTATATGAAAAGAAAACAGTATCAGAACTGAAAATATGAAAATATCAATAAAAACGCTTTTTATTTTTGCTTTAAAAGGCTTTGTTAACTATATAATCGAGGAAGAAAACATAACAGCCGCATATACAAGTAGTCCCTAACCAGTGTTTATTGGCAGTTTAACACCGGTTTTTTATTCTTCTTTGTGTATAGTGACAAAATCACGAGGAGTGTTAGAAAAGAAAACATAACCATGTCATAAAAAATTATAATGGTCACTATGGTCTACCGGGCACACGACGTGGAACATTTCATATCGCCGTTGACGTGCGTGAGTGTGTGCGTGCGTGCGTTGGTGTGTGTGTGTGTGCGTGCGTGCGTGCGTGCGTGCGTGCGTGCGTGCGTGCGTGCGTGCGTGCGTGTGTGTGTGTGTGTGTGTGTGTGTGTGTGTGTGTGTGTGTGTGTGTGTGTGTGTGTGTGTGTGTGTGTGTGTGTGTGTGTTAGTGTGTGTGTGTGTGTGTGTGTGTGTGTGTGTGTGTGTGTGTGTGTGTGTGTGTGTGTGTGTTTTGGACGCCGTTAAATAAATAGGCCACTTGTGTACCAGACGACTAACTGTTTATATTGAGTGAATGTTGCATGTTTGCGCCAAAACATAGGAAAGACTAATCTCTCATGCGGCTTATTTGTTTCTGCTTTTTGAATGTTTATTCAGGGTACTTAACTTGGTGGAGGAAACCCCGTTAACATAACTGGAGCTTAAAAGAAAAATTATTTTACTGCGGTTTTTGACCATCCATCTCGTTATGTACCTATGTAGTCGCGGGATCGATCCACGACCAAGTCATACATATGGCCATGAGAAATGTTGTACTACATACATTAACTTTCTTGCTTGGCCTTGCAAGTCCTAAACTGGATACAGTAGGTCATGGCAGTGTGTCAATTACATGCTTTAAGTACATGTACATATCATTGAAAGATTATTGAGATTATTGAGAGATTCATAAGATGCACCTGTCGTAATTGTAATTGCAAGACAAATGCTTTCTTCTGTAAATTTTAAATAAAACACTTTACCCTTAATCTACTCAATTTGCATACTTAGATTTGCCCTGCTTTAAATTTTGAAAAGTTCTTTTGAAAATTAAGGATGTCTATATCAAAATACAAGAACTGAGCAATCAAGTTTATATTGTAGAGCCTCGTCAGACTGTGTGTAAGTGCAGACCGACCTGGCTGAATACTGGTGGCAAGATTATCCCTTTCGGTTCCATTGTATATTAAGGGTTTAGTTTATTTATATGTAGTATTAGAGCCTAAACATTTAAAACGTTAGTATACATTATTGACAGTCCCAATGCTATTTCTATTTTCTAGTCGAAAATGGGGCCAATGTTGCCGTTTTTGATATTGATGGTAAGACAAAATTTCTTAACGTTTTATTTTAAATTC